AAATTATACATATTGTCTAAAAAATAATAAAAACATATTTAATAATCATGAGTACAAGATCTCAAGAATTATAATAATTACTTACTTGGCCTAAGCCAGAATCAAGTTTTGAAGTCTTTATAGAATAATTGCCCAAGTAAAATACTTTTGCCTCTATAAACACCTGTACGATACATTTGCATTAGCTAGTAAAAAAAAAAAAAAAAACTTAGTAAATTTGTAAAGTATGTTCATATAACATGATTTAAATTATAGTTATTTACGTTATATTCTTTAACCAATTGAGCAAATTTATCTTTATACTGCTTATTCGTATAGGAACTATTAAAACAATTGTTTAACCGATTTGTCACACTTTCCCAAAATTGATTTTTCTTAAACATCTTATGATATTCGGTATTACGGTTTTTTCTTTTATTAATCAAAAATTAGATTTTTTTAATTTTCTACATTGCAAATACAGTTAACAAAGAATAAAAAAAAATATATAAAATGCAGGTATTTATTATAGATGCAGACAAATGATGAAGTTATAATATCAATTAAACGTAACTCAATGATATTATAATGTGTCAAAAGGTCATAACTGACACATACTGTAATATTTGACTTGCATCATAAAATTTACTTTTGCATTATATTTAAATTACATAGTAACATTTGACTTATACCATAATATATATCTTTGCTGAGTGCTTTGCTGTAATATTTCTACTCATATTTATTTACTATTACGTCTTAATATTTGGCATGAAATACAAAAATCTATATATAAAATTCTCGATGCAATAAAAAGAATATATAAGCTTAGTCAATATTATTTTACCATTTATTTACTATAAAATATTTGATTCTACCCTGATAAGTATATTATGTAATTATTATTGTTGTTATTGTATACAAGTTATTAGAATAAATTCTTGGATTGAACAATAATTAAATTAAAACAACCATTTAATATAATTATTTTTATTGCATAATTTTCTATTTTTCTATAACATCATAACTTCTTATAGTGTTGCAATGTTTTTGTATAATTTTTTACAACTATATAAAATTCTTGTAATCTAGTGATTAGATCTGCATAATTTTGATACTATTCAAAACATTTGATCACTAGATCATGAGAATTTTGACTGTAATTTATTTTCAGAATAGAGATATAAACCGTTATTTATTGGATATCTAAATAATAATAATCTAGTGAATATCTACTAGATTTACTATTATTTAGATATCAAATAAATAATGGTTCATATCTCTATTTCAAAGAAATACTAAATAGATTTTAATTATATTAATTTTTTTAAAATATCGACTTTTGTCAAAAAAAAATTAAAATGGCGAAATGGTAAAACTGGCAAAAAGTGATAAAACTGACGAAAGGTGACAAAGCTAGTGAAACTGGTAAAGGTAGCAAAACTAAAAAAGGCAGCAAAGCTAATTAAAAATGATAAAATTAATGAATAAAGCAAGAATAGAAAGGTAATTAAAGAAATTTAAAATCTTTTATGTGATTATCTATTTTTTTTGATGATTTAAACTATCATTAAATTAAATTATCAGTAAAATAAACAGAACTCAAATTATGTTTTATTAAAAAAATTAAAGAGTCTAAAAAATTATATTTTAGATTAGAAAAATAAGTAACAATAGTAAAAACTGTATTCATAAATAATAATCTACTTACAAATAATCAGATATAGATTTCAGAATAGATATAATTATTACTTTAAGCATAGACTCTTACCCAGCTCTA